CCCCAAAACCCCAAAACCCCAAAACCCCAAAACCCCGAGGGAGGATTATGATATTGAATGTTAATTTGATAGTAAATTATTGATGGAAGATTCATGAAATTTTATAATCCCATTGAATCCAGAGCCTTAGTTCCGAATTCTCAGATTAATGATACTCCATTTCAAATAATTGTATCAAGAGAATTTACTGGAAGGTGCTTCTACATAAAACACCTTTTTTGAAAAAGCCAAGCTGGATATGATCTCGATCTCTTAGAGGCAACCTGTTAGTAAGAGGGCGGTGGAATGACTGAGATAAATTAATACTCTCAACAGGGCACTTAACTCCTTTTCCTCTGCTTCTAATGAGAAGGTTATTGGAGCCTAAAGAGTCATAAAACCATTACCTCGTGAATCAAAGTTGATATTTTCTTGTCTTAAGTTGGGGTTCCCAGGTTGCTACAGGATTGAGTTAAGAAATAATAAAATAAGATATAATAAGATCATAAAATATTTTTGCTATGTTTAGAATAATGCAAGGTCATATTCTGTTTAGAGTAGCAGACATTTTACCAAATTAAAGATCTGAGGTAAGATTTTGCTCTCTTAGAAATATTTTCATTATGAGATAGTATAAAGGCCTAAATTTCTCATATATTACAATATTTTAACCAAACTCCCTTTTAAACATAATTTCTTTCTAAAACAGTCTAACTTTCTACTGTTATTTCTCCAATTCTCAAATAGCTCAAAAACGTTGCTAAGTCGTTCAGAATCATTGTTTCCATACTATAAAATAGCACCAGCTATACTATAAAACCGGTATATTTTAGTTGTTCTTTCCGCCCCAACACTGATCTCTAGTATGAAAATCCTTCTCTTAGCACTCTGAAATAACCCCATGCCATTTCTTTACTATTTATATCTGCTATCTAGCGCTAATTAGCAGTGAGCAATAACTTTAGGTCGATTAGGGACCTCGAGAAGTCCCTTCGGTACTCTTTTAATCAGAAAAGTAGTGAAGATTTAGGTAAATTATCTTTTAGTTGTAGCTGCTTGGGAAGTGGGTCAGGATTTATTTGATAAATAAAGGTTTTTTAGGGGTTTTGTGGGTCTAGAGGATACCAGAATTGTGTTAATAAGCTTTTTGCTGATAAAGTAGGCGAAATTAAGTATTTAGTTGAAGGAAATGTTCATAATGAATGTAAAGGTGAGACACTGTTCATTTTTAAGGTCTCATAAGACAGTTTGAAGAGTTTCAGTGTACCTAAAGCAAATACTCTAATTTCTAAACTTCATTTGCTAGTATCTCTTAAGCAAGTTTGATTTTTCTTACCCTTGTGCTGTCAAATTTGGTATTCTTTGCTTCTTGAGGCTTGACTCCTACTGAAGCTTTAGAAGAAGACTTCTTCAAATTTTTGAAGAACAAAGTTATAGCAATTGTATAATTCATGATTGTCATCCAGACAATTAGAACTAATCAGATAAATCCACAGATATGAGAAAATCCAGAGGTCGACAGTTCGCTTGATTTAGATCAGAAGTTTAAATATAAAACCAAGATTGATAGCAAAAGAGATTCAAACAGAATATCTTGGAAGTTTAATAATTTGCTTTGGTATGGCCTGACTATTATTTTCCATAGAACTATTAAAAATCCAATAGTTATCATAATTGAGATCTGTACGATTCCATGATTCCACCCAAATATTAGCAATAAGGACAATGACAATTTTCTTAATAACAGAAAGAAATTGTCTAAAACTACAATTTTCTTGTCATTTTTTAGATCCTTGAATAAGATTCTGATTCTTCCTGATTCTTGTTGAGTTTTAGATACTTTACGACACCACAAAATTATAGGAATAATGGCTAGCACAAGAACAAAAATAATAATGAAGAATATTGATACCGCATGAGAGAAATAATCAATGTAATTCTCCAGCTTCATATCATAGGTATTGTAGATACTAGCAAAGCTCAGAGGAAGGTAAACTTCAAAAATAACTCTGAGTATGGAATTGAAGAAGAAATCGTTTTTGATTTGGATCACCCTGGAAATAAAGTGAGACATAATTCTTCTTCAAAATCCTCTTTTGTCTTCCGAATCTCTAAAAAAATAAACTCAAAACTCTTACTTTTTACATTTACAAGCCTTACAGGTGGCTGATAACAGAGCAATTATAATGTTCAAAAAGAGAAATAGTATCAATAAGAAAACAACGTCTCCTCAGTTTAGGAAAATATTAGTTGACTCGATGTTCTGATTGGCAAATCTGTAATCGAATGAATCTCTTCCTTCGATTAACGACTTATCAAATAGCGTCGTAAATACGTTAGGAAAAATGCTGATGTCAAAATTAGCGATGCTCAGATGACGATAAGAAGAAATCAATAATTTTGGGAAATATAGAGTAAGCATTGCAGTATACTGAAGAATCTGACTAATATTAATCAACATCCATATTGAAGATGGGCTTTGTCCTAAAGAGAACGAGAGTGCGACCTGAGATGTCATTCCTAAAAGATTATTCTTGGCACCGTACCAACAGATATTGATATAGACACTGCTTGTCCAACAGCTTCGACACTTTGCTCTGCTTTAATCTTATCTACCTTACAAACAGAAGGTTGTCCAGTTCATTTATAGTGTTCTTCTATTTGACATTCCTTGCTGCAGCCATCACCTGAGAGAGAGTTTCCATCGTCTCAAGTTTCCCCAGATACCTGAATGCCGTCACCTCAAATTTGTGTGCAAGTATTCAGATTTGAAGAGGCATGCTGGTATCCGCTACTTCATAGTATGCATGCATCTTTGGCTGTATTTGGGTACCCAGATGTTCCACATGACGATCACTCATGGCCGGGTAAACCAGAGTTATATACACAGATGTAATTATTCTCAATAGTCTGACAGTCCGAAGATCAACCATCACCGCTAACAATATTCCTGTCATCACATGTTTCGCCCGAAGTAAGGATTCCATCCCCACACACATCAGTGCACGAAGAAGGGTCTGATGCTTGGACCGCGTATCCTGATTGACAAGCAATAGTTACTAAAATATTAGATAATTTTTTTGAAACTAGCCAAGAAGCTTACTATTTCCATTCACAACTTCATCTGGTAATATAAAATATTGGGACTGGACAGCAGCCATGCTTCCTGTTTCATTCCAGTGAAGTTTAATTTCAGCTGTAGACAAGTCTTCCTCCCAGCTGACATAAAAGGAATAGACATTATTAGTGTCCATTGCCATTGTGAAGCTATGCAAATTATAATTGGATCAAAACCTTTAAAAATCTAGTTACAAAGAAGAATTCTAGAAGCGAATCGCCATTAGCATTACAAACAAAGTTTGAAAATAAATCCAACTAAGAGCAAAACTTCTGCTCTACTGTTAAATCACACTAATAAACTATTCTGTAACTTTAATATGATAGTTCTTCTTACCTCTCAGAATAAGTTGATCCTCCGGGTATCATGCTCACACCATCTATTTTAGGATTTGAGTTAAGTGATTTATGAACTTCTAAAAATAATCCCTGCACATTTTTTATGAAAGACTGTAATAGTATTAAATTAGAATTGGGAGTATTAATCATCTTTACCGATTTCAATCCATCCTCTATCTAGTTTGATCAAGTCAAAAGAATAAGTTTCTGATCTGGGAGGTTTTATTAGCCCTCTGAATTCTCCTCGAATATAATCGTACTCTCCATTCTATAAAATAGCCTAACGACTTACATAAACGATAGAATCTCCTACTGTGATGCCTCCATAAGTAAAATCAATATTGGATACTTGAGTTGTTCCTAAAAACGTTCCACTCAATTTATAATAATCAGCAGTGACAACTCCTGTCTGAGTCAGCATGATTCTGTAAGTAACTGTCCCTTCCTTGTCTACTCTGAGGGTGTACGAGTAAGTCCCGTCAGAGTTATCCGTCATTCTTGTGGAGATTTCTGAGTCAAGAGCAGTTGAAGCAGGAGATACAGGGGTTCATACAGTGTCAGAAACCCAAGTACAGTGGTTGTTCAGAGAGATATAGAAGTCTTCACCTCCAGATGTGAGAGAGACCCCTCCAGAGTCCTTTGCTTGCACTGTGATGATAAGATCTGTAAATGGAAGCAAGGTTGATGGCATTGATGTAGTCACAACACTTTGGGATGCAACTGCTTGGCAAGCTGTACAAAGATATCAAATATAATCATGCTTGAAACTTACCTGATAGTTGAAGAAAGATTAACAACAGAAAAGTTAATATCATCTGACAACTCTGAAATGTTTTTGTTTCTATATGAAATATTTCAAAAAAGTCACAAAATAACAGTTTTACATTATTTAAAAATCATAAAATTTTTCAAAATGAACTTCAACTTTAAATTCAGAACTTTTGCCTGGAATTATTAATAATGATCATGATAATTCTAATTTTTGGAAATCCATTAGCCAATAAAAACAATTATAATTGTACTCTAAATCCTTCTTCAAACTTCCAAAATACCCCAAACAATCTTCAAAACTAAACTTTAGCCAAAGCTTACCAAACTCAATCTCAACCAAATTTCAAAAAATCCTAAAACCAGGCTTAAACCCCCCAAAAATCCAAATTCTCCAAATTTCCCCTAAAACTCATACCTCCCCAACCTCCTAATCCCTTCTCCAAGACTCCTTCTCTTCCATTCTACCCAACCCAGCCACTTAATGCTCCCGTCAGAACAACTAGTTTGTACCTGACAGTGAAGGGCTGGAGCTCAGCGGGACACCGGAGAGGAGGAAGGGAAATGGGATTTTGGGTAGGGAAGGCAGTAGGAGTGGAGGAAAGAGGGCTGTTAAGGAAGTGAAGGGGAGGGAGGGGTTTTAGGAGGGTTTTTTAATAGGGTTTTGGGGTTTTAGGGGTTTTTAAAGGAAGTTGGAAAATTGTTTTATAAAAGGTGCTGGGATTGGTGGGATGAATGGTGATTAGAATAGGAGGAAAGAGTTGCCGGGGAATTTGATTTAGATTTATAACTGAGAAATAAATTTTTAGGTTTTAAATTTTCTAAATTTTTGTTACTTTTGATGCTTGAAGAAAATTGTTGCACTTTGGATATTATGGGACTATCATTTCTTAGATCTCTTCTATTCCAAAAGAAACCTGCAGCTTTTCATCCAAATAAAGATCTAAACTCATCTACCAATTTTCATAATTTTTCTTCACTTGCTTTCCGGATTCCATCAGAATTCGGGAGTACCATCTTAAAACCCTCTCATAAAGCCCCATCTGAGCTCTCTCATCTAAAATCTTTTCCACTTTTACACTCTTCCTTTCAAATCTGCTCTTTTTCACCCCTCTACAGCCAAAATTACCAAAAATTCCGACTGCACAAACAGCTCTCCCAGAAATTGCATCCTCTTCTCTACTAAAACGAGGTCGAGCCACTCCAAATTTTAAGAAGAACAAGTAAAAAATTTTAAAAGAAAAAGAAAGGTAGGAATTAAAAACAAATTTATAGGCCAAGAAGGGGACATTGGAGAGGAGAATTTAAAGGAAGTAGTAAGGAATGGAAGACAAATTGTTCTAGATGGGAACTGTGACCTGGTTTGGGAGAAGAGACTTAAGGTGAGATATGTAGTGGTGGAGAGGGGTTTAGATAGGGTGAGGGAAGTTGGAAAGGTGGGATAGGTTTTGATCGGCTTCTTACCTTGACTGAATGGGTTTTATCTAGTATTTCGATTCTTTTACTTGCTATTGTATTAACTTTCTTCATTTTTGTAATCTTATAATATTTATATTCACTTATATTCCTCTTATATGGGGTTTTGGGGTTTTGGGGTTTTGGGGTTTTGGGG